TGAGTAAAGGCCAGCAATGTGAAGGGCGTGAGCGGTCATGTCACAGTGCGGTGCATTAGAGCGGCTTCCTGTGAGCACGCGGGCTGCGTCTCAACACCTTGTGCGCTATCTACCTAGACAGCATTTCAAGACATCACAGTTTCACGGTAGTTTTTATTTTAGGCACCATATGCGTTTCAAGTCCTGTCACCCTAAATGTCATCTGATCCCTGCCGCCTTCAAACCCCCCCCCGCGTGCATCTGTGCTACTCAAACATGCCGTCGAGTTAGGGAGCTCGCTAGGTTTTGACACACCTCCATGCACTGATATGGTTTCTGAGAACTGACGAGCACTTCCCAAGAACTGAAGAACCGAAGCTGTCAGTTCTTCTATATAACTCAGCCAGATAGTCCTACATGCCCAACCCCTCCCCCCCTTGTTTGGCTGAGTATATTTTATTCTGACCGATTTATTTGTTCTTTATTTATATTTGAATAACATTTCCTCCTCCTTTTGTCATATTAAAATGATAAAGTAAAGTTTCTATGCAGGTTTCTACATGTCGTGTAATATATGAGCGTGGAGTGGTGTTTTTTCGTTTTCTTTTTAAAGGGATGGCTCTTCAGTGTTGGGGGTAACGCATTACAAGTAACGCGAGTTACGTAATCAGATTACTTTTTTCAAGTGACTAGTAAAGTAACGCATTACTTTTTAATTTACAAGAGAATATCTGAGTTACTTTTTTTCCCAATTTATTGATTGACAGCTCTGGTGTCCCCATGTTGAGAGAAATCAGATGTTACTGTAGTTCTAAAATAAATATGAATATGCATTAATTCATCTCACTCACAAAAAAAACAGATTCAGTATTCCTCAAAATGAATAAAAATAATGCAACTCAGAATATGACGCAAACCTGCAATAATTAAATGTTAAACAACACAAATGTCCTTTATGTATTTAATCCCATTCTATTAACCGATGTCTTTGCTTCTGACCTTCGATGATCCAGTTCAACCGTACTAACAAGCACAAATTACTCTAGACGAACATTTGTGTGTGTTGAATGTCTTCTTCTGCGTTCTACTGTACGGACGTAAATTAACTTTCCCTTCAGCCTGAGGCTTATTCATTTCACTTTTGGTGTGAAAGGCTTTTATATTTGCCAAAAATATAACTTTATTATTTTAAAAACAAACAAGCAAGCCCTGTCCAGAGTAAAAAAGTAACGCAAAAGTAACGTAACGCATTACTTTCCATAAAAAGTAACTAAGTAACGTAATTAGTTACTTTTTTTACGGAGTAGCGCAATATTGTAATGCATTACTTTTAAAAGTAACTTTCCCCAACACTGCTCACACTGATGTTTGTTATTTTCTAATCTCTTTCTAGGAAATCCGTAACCAGTCGCAGGAGTGTCCCTACAAAGTGGCAAAGTTCCCAGAAAATCGCAATAGGAATAGATATAGAGACGTCAGTCCCTGTAAGTTTCTTCCATGTGAACCCACTTTAACAATGTTTCACTCGTTTTGTAACCTTGCTCTGAAAAGGACAGTTTACTTAAACTTGTATCATTATTTAACCAGCGTCATTTTGTTTCACATCTGTATGACTTATTTATTTTTTTGTCGTCTGTGAACCAAAATAGGAAATGTTATAGCCTCAGGATAACAACAGCCACAGTCACCATTCACTTTCATTGTATAAAGGAAAAATGTAGTGAGAGTCAATAGCGACTTAATGTGTAAGGCAGCCATACAGATTTGAATGACAGTGATTATTTGTTTTATGAAACAAGTCCTTAAAAGCTTTTTTTCTGTGAGCTTAATCTTGATTTCAGATGAATTGAACACAGATTGCCAAAATATTTGTCGACTCTCCCTGAATAACCTGAATTTTTGTGTTAAGATGATCACAGTCGGGTGAGATTAGAAAATTCAGAGAATGACTACATAAATGCGAGCCTAATTACCATGGAGGAGGCCCAGAGAAGGTACATATTGACACAGGTATGGCAGTAATGGAAAAAGTAAGTCCACTGTTTGCATTTAGCTGACTTGCATTGATGTCCCATGTGACCTCAATACAAATTTACATGCGGTTCTTATATACCAACAAATTTGATTTACATGTTTCCCCTGTTTTTATTGAATTTGTGTTTAGCATCATGAAACCTGTTTTTTTTAACATCCTTTACAGCCTTTTGTAGAACAAAGAAGAATGTCTCGAAGATTGTAATTGAATGTTACATGCATTTCTTTTGCATTGACCAGCTTGTTTGTGTATTCTCTAATGTAATTGCAGGCACTTTTCTCTTTCTGCAGGGCCCACTGAGGAACACTTGTGGTCACTTCTGGCAAATGATTTGGGAACAGCGTTGCAAAGCCGTTATTATGCTTAACAGAGTTATAGAAAAAGGCTCGGTGAGTGAACACAAACAATGCTTGTTCTTGGCCTTGCGTTGTTTTTACATTTATTAACATTTTTGTTTAAAAGAAAGAAACCGCTTGGGGTCCGCAAGTTGTTATATTTAAAAAAAATATCACTACATTTATTTAGCAAGGATGCATTAGTTGATGAAAAGTGATAGTAAAGACTTTTACCAAAAAAAAGTTAAATTTCAAATAAATCCTGAACTACCTATTCATCAAAGCATCCTGAAAAAAATGTGTTATGGATTCCACAAAAAATATTAAGCAGCACAACTGTTTTCAACATTAATAATAATAATAAGCAATATTTCTTGAGCACCAAATCAACATGTTAGAATGATTTTTGAAGACTGCTGATAAACGTAATTTTAATATGTAAAGTATGCAGTTATTTAAAAATGTAATAATATTTCGCACAATTACTGTTTCAAACTGTATAATAAATGCTGATACCAAACTACTTGGGGGGGGGGAGGTCATTAAGCTGATGAATAGTAATGTGGATTTGCTTGCAATCCACAAATGAATTCATTTTGATAAGTTTTTTGCTGTTTTTGTTCAATCTGAACAGGAGAAGTGTGCGCAGTACTGGCCATCAGAGCAGGAGCGAGACATGGATTTCAGTGACACTGGGTTTGTGGTGACTCTGGTGTCTGAGGATGTCAAACCAAATTACACAATCAGACTATTAGAACTCAGAAATGGCAAGGTGAACGTAATGTTAAATTATTACGTCATTGAATACTTCTCTAAACAAAACATCAAAAATAAATGTGGTTTTAAATTTTGTCCCATATTTTTAGACCGGAGAAACCAGAGAGATCTACCATTTTAATTACACAACGTGGCCTGATTTTGGCGTGCCAGAGTCCCCAGCATCATTCCTCAACTTCCCTGTAGCCGTTGGACCCAAATGCCCCTGTCTCCTTGGTTTATGACCTGTCTTATGCCCACCCCAGCATCTAAGTAAATCACACAGCAGCAATGAAGCTTTTGCTCACAAACACCGCACACACACACACACACACCATAAGCTGCAGAGCATCTTTCGCTGGCAAATTTGTCCCTCGATGTCTCTCTGCTAAGCATATACTTATGATGCACATATAGTCTCAAAAGAGTGTGGGCGACTACATTCTGCTTGCATTCAGATTGGTACTTGCAATCATAAGTTTAGGTTAATCATAAGCAATTTGACATTTGTCTCACACAGAATGTATGAATTAGGTTTTAAAATGCTGTCTCAAAGCATGCATTACAGACACTATCAGGCAATGAAGATCTGTTCTCTTTGCAGTATAGTGACTTGTGGCTTCACTCAACATTTCCAGCTGTTTTCAGTGCTGTTCTCATATGTTTTGCTGCTGTTTGAGGAAAGAGCTATTTAATAAATTTGATATTTGTTCTAATTACACAAATGCACAGCTGTCACTTAAGAGCTGCATGATTATAGGTACAAGCCAGGATATAACCAAATATTCAAGACTGGGAGGGGCTAAAGGTTCTTCTTGCAATTTAAAAAAGTCATACTGCATTCTGAGTAAATGAAAGGACGCATCCCCCATAATGACTGCGTTCACATGCACATGAATATTAATTCGAATTTGGTCATATTCCAGTTTTGTGAGTGTCATTTAAACATATTACCTATTTATTTATATGTGATTCTGGGTGATTTTAGATTCAAAGCATAGTCGAGCATATTTCTGGAGCAAGATGATGACTCTTTTCTTTACTGCAATTTTAAAAACATCACAGCCTACATTTTGCAAATTGCTCTTGTGCTATTAAGAACACAAATGAGAAGTTAGCTGATCAAGTTACTGACTAAAATTGCAAGAATGCACAAGCAAACATTTCCAGTATTTTCAGAAAAGAATGTGTATATTCTGATTACATATACATATTCCAATAGCTGAAGAGCATAGTTGATTTTATCAGACGATACCGTGATTATAAATGAGAGTGACTCCTGGTAAAAGGGGTCGTGTTTAGTCACTATTTAGTGTGGTATTTTTTGGACAATATTCACTCATCATGACAGTAAAATAGGGCATTCTAAGTCAATATACTGCAGTATTTCCTCTCTCAATCAGTAGAAAATATGGTCAACACCAGGTCATGCGTAAAAAAAAATAAAATACCGTCATGTACCATGAAACCGGTATAATTTTGAAAAATACCGTGATATAAATTTTTGGTCATATCGCCCAGCACTAGGCATTACTATATAAATGCTTTAGTTTATTTAAAATGAAGTCATTGTGGATAACATTCAAAGGAACTTTTGAGGTTGAGTACAAGTTAAGCTCTACTGGTAGCATGAAAAAATTATTTCGACTCATCCCTGTAATAAAAATGTTTACAGTAATGAAAGTCTATGGGGCAAGTCATTGCACCAGGATAAATGTTAAATATGCACTGTTTTAAAGGTACAGGCACATGGTTTAAATGGATATTTTACCCAAAAATGTAAATTCTGTCATTTAATCACCCTCATGATGTTCCAAACCCATAGTTCTGTTCATCTTAAAAACATAAATGAAGATCGTTTTTTTTTTTTTTTTTTTTGTAATGTGGGAGATTTCTGTTCCTCCATTCAAAGTCTATTCAACCAAAACTTTAAGAAGTACATAAAGACACTGTAAAAGTAATCCATCAATTGGTTTGAGGATTATTATGCTTCTGTGGAGACATACTCACTTTATATGATGAACAGATTTAATTTAGGCTCTTATTCACGCATAAACATTGATCAAAGTATATAAATACAGCACATCAAATATGGTAAATGGAAGCTGAAATGTACTTATGACATGATCAAGTGCGCGTGTATTGATCATTGTTTTCAATTTTTCAGCTCCTTTAGTCATAACCATGTAATGAGCAGTTGAACGAACCACTTTTTTAAACTTTGAACCCAGAACATTCCTTTAAAGGAGTTGTTATTCTCTAAGCATCATTTGTTACAAAAGGGGGGATAAGTCTTCAACAAAGCTTTCTCATCCTCCTCATTTGTCTCGGTAACTTTGGATTTTAAAAACCGCTTGCCTAAAACAAAAACTCAGGATCTTACTACTTCCAGCAATCCCTGGAAAGGCAGAAGACGGCAGAGAAGGAGAGGCTGTTTTTGGTATATGCCAAACAGTGGTGGCAGGAGTTCTTGGAAATTCGACCCTCACACCAGTCCAAGCTGGTGAAGATCTTTGCACAGGTGACCTGATGTTACTGAGCAATGTACTGTTGAGTGTTGCTATATATTGGTGATTTATTCTTGTTCATAACAGTATTTGCTTCAGATGTTTTATAAAACGTGTGTTTCCCAGGATGAAAATGGTGTGAACCGACCTGTGTGTTCATATGTACGGGTATTGCGTGCCGGCAGGTTGCTTGAGAGTCCGCGGCAGGCGGCGCGTTTCGTTAGCCTGTTAGCTCAGGAGAGAGCACCTGTGGTAGGAGGAGGAGTTCGGCAGGAGCAGTGGTGCTCTATGATGGCCTTTCTGTGCAGAAACAAGGTAAGACACCCTATTATATGCTGAACCTGAATAACCATAATCTAGAGTACAACCTTAGAATTCATACTTGCTATTTTTATGAACGTTGATAAACAGGTTTGATTTTCATTTATTACCATGTGTTTTTGTTGTCAGGGCGACTGTGAAGATCATGCCACACTTCTGTGTAGTCTGCTGTTGGGATTTGGACTGGATGCTTATGTATGTGTGGGCACCAAAGCCAAAAACATTCCATACACCTGGGTCATGACCTGTGGTACAGACGGCTCCATCACCTTTTGGGAAAGTTTCACTGCACACAGGTAAAAATTCATCCATTCTAACTGCCCCTAAAAATTACTTAAAATGTATACATTTAGGCTTTTTTAGTTAACCACTTACAAATGTGCTTAATGGCTTTGCTAATATTTCTGACTGTTTAAAAAAAAAAAAGGTGAATTATTGTATTGATTATGATTACGAAATGTCACCCACCTTACAGTTCTACTTCCAAGCAAAGTTTCTCTTACAGTTGATTAAACATTACAATTGGATCGCACTATGCTAAACAATTTACAAAAACAGTCTTTGTGAAATATTTGAATGTTTTTAGATTTTTTTATGCAACAAAACTATTTATATACTAAATTCATATTTATTAATCTTTCGAATTAGCTTTTATTTGTATATTTTCAGTTTGTTTTATTTTTAGTTTGTTTTAGGGCTGTCAAAATGGCTGAAAAACTACATTCAAATTTTTTACTTAAATATTATCAGAATTCGAATTATATTCTAATTTAAAATGTTTAATTTCAGTTAGGGTGAAGAAAAGGTTTTTGGCTTTTCTCCTGAGGCCACAAGAGGGCGCATCGAGCAAAATATTACTAATGCACGTTTATTCAAAGCATAAAATAACATGACAATCTGTGATTAAAAAGTGCATAATGTTTAAAATAATGTTTTTAAACCAATTATAATTAAGATGCTTAAACAACTATAAACAAAACAGCATCATGTATGTATGTATGTATGCATAGTTTAATACAGAGTGCCGAAAGACAATCACACGAGTTGCAGTGGGATGGGGAAAAAAACCCGCCATATTGTCTCGAGATATGCTTTTTCAAAGTTGAACTTGCATTAATTTTACATGGCTTTCTAAACATGCCGAAAGACAATCACACGAGTTGCAGTGGGATGGGGAAAAAACCCCGCCATATTGTCTCGAGATATGCTTTTTCAAAGTTGAACTTGCATTAATTTTACATGGCTTTCTAAACATGTGGCTCTTTTGTGCGAGACGCGAGTGCAACGGTGATAGACGTCCCTCTAGAAAATGCGTGAAATATGCGTTCTGTGTGAATGGCTTGGTTTAAGTTTTGACGTAAACAAGATCTTCTCCGCATTGATGTTCTCTTTTCCCACAATATTTGAAATTAACAATGCAGCGGCGCCGCATCTAGTGGCTTCAACTGGATAGGCTAACAAAAACATTATAATGCAACGACACTTACATCGTCATCGCATCTCGTGCACCACTGATAAGGCTGCCTCCTTAACACACACCTAAAATTTGAATGCAACGTTTTTGCATTCGGCGAATATTATATATATTTTGTATAGGCTACTTTCTGTTCATCAAACAATCCTAATAAAAACAAATACAAAAATATATTAATATAAACAATTTTCAATTGTGATGATAAGAAAAGATTGAGCACCACATCAGCATATATGATTTTTGAAGGAAATGACACTGAAAACTGGAGTAAAATTCAGCTTTGCCATCACGGGCTTAAAAACAATCTGTAGAAATCAGTTATCTTAAATGTCATATTTCACGGTATTACACTGTATTTCACTGTTTTTACTGTATTTTTTAATCAAATAACAAATAAGACTCTCTCTCTCTCTCTCTCTCTATATATATATATATAAATGATAGTGTAGAATTAATATATAATAATAAATAATGATTTTTACAACCAAAGCAGGGAAAACAAAACAAATCTCTGTGCCAAGGTATCTTTCATAGCACCCGTGATTTTTGTACCAATTTTTCATGTCCATCTTTCATCTCTGTGTATTTTTGTTTTAAACGTATAAAGATGCTGTGATGTGTAGCCTATGGGTGTGCAGAAAAAAAAATGATGTGACATAAAAAAGAGAACTTGAGGTTTACAGAAGAAACATGCTACATCACCCAGGGCAGTATGGGTAATAAAGTCATTAATTCAGCTGATTAAGTTGGCCTTTGGGTTAAAGAAATATGAATGGAACTCATTTCATTTATAAATGTCACTGCTTTTACAATGTTTAAAGTAGACAGTCTGTTCTTTTCAGATGTGCTGTTCATTAAACAGATTAATAGATTTTATTCAAATGTTAGTATTTCTGCATTTGGCAGATGCTTTTATCCAAAGCAATTTACATTGCATTTGAGGTATACATTTTATTTGTTCATGCATTCTCTGGGAATCAAACCCATGATCTTGGTGTTGCTAGCATCATGCTCTACTGTTGGAGCTATTTATATTTCATTTAATAAAGGATTTGTTAAAACTTAAACTATTTTGTTTGACATTTTGTCCCCCTTGATATTTACGTTCATGTATAATTTGATTGAATGCAAGCAAGCCAGGTTAATTCAGGGATGTGGCCTGTTTAGATATCAATAGCCGCTTTTTTAGTTTTGCATAGATAGTAACGCAAGATGGATGATCAAACTTTATTTAAACTTAGTCATATTGTTCGTACTGCATTATGGGTAAATTGCAACAATCCCAATTAAGCAGCTCAAATCAAAGCATGCATGATTTCAGTTTAAGAGCAACTGTCAAATTAAGAAGTGCACAACAAAATAATGGGCCACATAGCAAATTTCAATAACACAAAAAAGTGAACTGTGACAATGCAGTGGTATACTAATGTTTTGTTTCACATAAATAACTAGCTGCGAAATGAAAACCAGACAGATTTGTACACTGATAGTAAAACAGAATTGAATTCAAACAGATAAATAAAATAAAAATAAAACCCAACAGCATTAATACAGCTTAAGTATTAAAACATTAATTAATTAACTTAAAACATTGCTTAAGTATTATCTTGAACAATGCAAATTTTATAGTATGTTATTAGCCTATTACAGCTGGGATTAATTCTGTTGTGTTTCTGTTTTTGATTAAAACAGGAGGAAAACATTTTTAAGCAACTGTAGTTCAACATATTTTTATCATTGGGGTTTGAAAAATTGCATGTTTTTAAAAAAAAAACTTTTTATATTGTTACACATAAAAATGCAGATATATATTTTTTTATTGCAAGTACTGAACACACACACACACACACACACACACACACACACACACATGGGGTTTGAAAAATTGCTTGTTTTTAAAAAAAAACCTTTTTATATTGTTACACATAAAAATGCAGATATATATTTTTTTATTGCAAGTACTGAACACACACACACACACACACACAAACAAACAAACAAACAAACACAAAAGGACAATTGTTTGTGCTGTTTTACATCCACTTGATAATATTATGTTACATTGAGTCCAGGTCTGAATGATGCAGGTATTTTTTATTTTCCAATCAAGGAATATTTTGATTTGACAGGCTGTTCTGCACTTCATCAGCTCTCTGACGAGCAGCACTATTGATATGCCTCTCACAGGAGCGGAGGTGACCTCGCGCAACTTCAATTCCGCCTGCATTGTGCTCCATTGTGTACATCTCAGGAGGGAAGCAAGAGTGCCGTGTTCGCTTCAGGCACAAGTCAAGTCCTAATAGCCCACCGCATTTTCATATCCACAGAGCGTGTGTAACTTTGTGATTGTACTTTAAAAATGGCAGAAAGCTGGGGAATTAATCTAATTCGACATCAGTGCATTTATGTAATGCGGCTACAAACGAATTGAACATTAGTCATTTAGTGGCTGCAGAGTGATAATTCCATTTAATGTTTAATAGTTATGGGATGGTGATCACACTTGGGCAAGGAAGTAATTTCAAAAGAATGAAAAATTCCATTAAAAGAATGTTATCTGTTGAATTAGCAATGAAGGCCGGGGTCTCTGCTGGTTTGTATTTTGAGTTGACTGACATTCTGCACACATTTCAGCATTGCACTTCTTCCCCGCAGATCATCTAGCTACTAAACCTGCATAAGAAAACACCACTAAATAATACAGTGCTCTGTTGTTTGCTTTATATAGTTGCAGACTTGTGTTGCTCATTTAAAATAACTCATATTTTGACATCTAAGACGTGAACATTTAATCGATTGCATTTTAGTTATTCAGGTGTTTAGAAAAATACCTAAATATGGTGTATTTGGTAATATTATTGTGATTAAATATAATGCAAGACATGCATAAATAAGTAAATAAATAATGCACTGCTCTATTATATGTATTGTGATAGAGAAAACACAGTGATATTCTGTCCAGACTGTTTGTTGATGGCACACTGATACACACTCTGGTAAACACATCTCACCTATCTTTAAGAGGGCCCTTGTGTCACGAAAATAGACTTGAGAGATCCTCTCAGGAAACACAACCCCCTTTTGAGGTTCTGTGAGGTAAGCGTTGATATTAAGAAGCATAAAATCTGTTTCTTGGGTTCAGCTTCTCTTACACTAGCAGCACAATCACTGCTGACAGCACAGAAAGCAAATTACAATCTAAACATCCATCATTTAGCAGTGACAGCATCGGGGCCAGGCCATAGAAAATGAAAAAAGACACTAACTTAAAGCCTTTTTTTATGACAAAATGCAATTAAATATTTGTATTACATCAGCACTTGGGTCATATTTGTACTTGAAACAGTTTTGTAAATCTCACATTAGGTCAGCTGATCTGTTTGTGAAAAGTGACATTGTGTAACCTTAAGTATTTATTTTTTTTGCATGGACTGCTTTAGTTATGGATTTGTTGTATGGAAAAGAGCTGCATACAAATTCTTTGAACGTTCTCCTCTTGTGCTGTGCAAAAAATAATAGACTTGAAAACAACATGCGGATGAATAAACAACTTTCATTTTTGGGTGAACCATTCTCTTGTGAAAAAGAAGTACACTTTAAAATACTTTTATATTTAATAGTTTAACGTTTTGGACAGCTAATTGAATTATTAAATGCAATTAGCTTATTTTTTGACCCATTAAGACTTAATTAAAAAAAATTAATTATAATCTTTATTTGTAATTTCATAACGATTAAAATTGAAATGATTAATACTATTTTTATTACATGTGGCTACATTGTAATTGTAATTGAATATAAGTTATTGAATAAACATTTTGAATAAGAATGGTTTAAAATATCACCTTTTATTCAATATTAATGTTACCTTTTAATTTCATATTAATGTCACCTTTTAATAACAATAATATTTTAAATAATATATTTTATTTCATTATTAATTGCAAGTACGGTTTTTATATACTTTAAAGATCTGAAGAACACTATATGTGCACATTTAATACAATTAAGCAAACACTTTTTTTTAAATTGAAGGTTACTTGGCCATTTTTTCACTGCTTTTTGGAATACTTGATTCTAATTGGCTGCATTCAGTTACTGATAGTACTGAAAATGAACTCATTCTAATGGACTATTTTTTATTAATAATAATATAATATACTAGATAATATTGAGTCACTTTCCATACTTAACCGTTCTTTCTTTCTAAGTCTTAGTGCGGTGCAGCGAGTGCTAGCGTGCAGCAGCCTCTTCCCTTCAATAATGAAAATATCACAGGAGACCCAGAGGGGGGCTGCTGACCTTTATCGGGCCGGTGCATTATCGCCACGCTTGCTTGCTCTTTCGTAAAATGCCTAGCCACACTCTTCTCCCCGGGGCAATATGGCTGAGTGACTGCAGTGGATTGAGTGCTTGTAGATCCATACCCTGTGTAAATAATTTATCACCCTCAGATGCTGCTGAGGACGGGGAGAGGGGAAATAAGCAGCAGAGTCTGTAAATGAAGAAAGGGCTTATATTTGTGCACTGCAATGCACTCAATTACTGACTTAGAAACGCTGGGAGAAAATTAAGTCGAGCTTGACGGAAACAAAGCAGCATTCGCTGTTCTCTGGTCGGGTTGCTTGATGTCGTGGCAGAGGATTCAAAACACATGTTTATGGTATAATAGTTTTAGGCATGTTAAAGGAAGATAAATATCATCTCTGGTGACTGAGATACATAATTTGTAATATTTTGCAGAGATTTAGAGGTATTGTCAATTTGTCATTGTAATGAATCAACACAAGACCGATTATTAGCCTAAATATAAAACTAATCAGTTCTGGTTCTGGATGTTCATTGGTTGATACAGTGTTCCTACATCTGTTCTAACATAGATGATATAGAAACATGTATCACACGAAACACCTGTTCACATAGCTACTGTATAAGTCCCTGAAGATCCCACATAAAATAATGTTATATATTTAAATATTATTTTAATATAAATGAGCAATATCACTCGAGTACGAGAGCGATACCGGCTCTATATCAGCATGGCTGTGATTAGGCCAGAGGCACGAGGCCGCAGGCTATCACAGCCGCTGATATAGAGCCGGTATCGCTCAAGTACCAGAGTGATATTGCGTTTATACAACAGTTCGACGGAACATGTGTGTAATTAAACAAGAAACAACGGAGTGCCTAATAAAACCCTCTTTTGTGCGGAACTACTTCCTTCCGCCACGGAGCCAAAGCTCAAGTTGACAGTTAAACATACGTCACTTTTAGAATTGGTATCAAGGGCATGTGCTGCTTCAGTTAGGTTATTAGTGAGAAATAATGAGGTTATAAGAGAGAAACAATGCGGCAAGACGTGCATCCAAATGAGAGAGAGAAAGAGACAGCGAAGCTAGACGTTTCTTCTTATATTAACTAATGTACTCTACCCTACTCTAGACCCGGCTAGAACAAGCGGAGTGAAACAAAATTGTGAAAGGGCGTTCCTGTAGCGATACCAGTACAATAGGGCCTTTCACACCGCTTTAGTTCCAGAACTAAATATACAGTACTAAAGTACTGGGACGATTTTGCGCAAACTATTTCCCAGTTCCCATTAAAGGGTTGCATTCACACCGACAGTGTGTACTAGGAAATTACGTAAGCCGGTCGACAGTTATGTCATTTGTGTGCGGCGTTCAACAACGGAAACAAAGAAGAACAACGTTAACAGCAGGATGGAGGACGCTGTGATCGGAGCTGTGTTTTTGTTGTGTCTCGTGGGTTTCACAATAATGGACATGGAATGTCGATGTATACGTAAAATGATTGAAAGAACGGAAAAGAGGACTAAGAATGAGGTGCATTTAAAATAGGTGCATTTTAACAATGTTTTCTCAACGAATCCTGGACTCCTGCTCGAAATTATAAATTAATAAATTAATATAATGACAGCTACAAAAAATCCCAACAATAAGCCCTCGAAGCTGTTGTCGTTCCATCCTGACGGATGACAGCTATGAGCGGAATTCCAGAAAATAAACCGTCTTTTATTGGCTGTTAAACCGCGATACTAAAATCGCGCCCAGTTCCGCGGAGCGAAAACGCCAAAAAGTGGGTAGTTCCACAATTAGTTCTGGCACTATCATGTCAACTATTTTGTTTCTCATCTGTTCTTGAAATTTCTTTAGATCGCGGCATGATGTGTTGCTCTTTAAGCATGCTTCATTTTGTCAGACAGGTTCTATTTAAGTGATTTCTTGAT